TCCGCAAGGCTCGAGTGGTTTTCGCTGAGCTACGTCACTTGTAGTGCCGACGCGATATCAGTCTATTTGAAAGGCCGCGTTTACAATGCCAAAATACGCTCTGTCCTTCTCTATGGCCATGAGAGTTGTCCCTTTCACACAGAAGACTTACGGAGATTAAGTGTTTTTGACCAGCGTTGCCTTCGTTGCATCGCCAGAATGCGTTGGCAACAGCAAATCACCAATAACGAGGTTTATCGAAGAATCTTTACCGCAGACAATCTCAGTCGTCCTCTGAGTGCCGTCATTTCGATCCAGACTTCAATGGCTAGGACATGTGTTGCAGATACCAGCTCAACGATTGCCCCATCGTGTTATGTTTGCGCAAGCAGACAGCTTTCCGTGCTCTCCGCACGTGCTGGGCAAGGCTGGAATAGGCGGCGCGGCGGTCAGAGGCATGAAGAAGCTGGCTTCGGTTGGTGCAGCCCGCCTTCTAGGTTGGGGCCCAAGGGATGAGGATTGTCGTTGGTTAGAGACGCTAAGAGATATGGCCCGGAGTAGAAGTCAGTGGCGCGAATGCTGCCTGTCGAAATCCCGTGCCCCGTAAAAAAAAACAAAAAAATATCGAAAGGTATACGGTGAAACAAATTTTTTTGTTCTTCCAGATATCTTCCATATTCCCGTGTTTGACTGTTTCACCCCCTTTTCACCCTGTTCTGTACTCCAATCCACCTGCCCCCTTTCATTGTTGTTGTAATTATTGTTGTTGCGTTGGCACCATGCTTGTCTACTAACCTCAAAACTGGCAGTGTTAGGACGGTGTTTGGGAATGCATCGGACAAAACTCGCTATCGCATTGAGTTCAGCTCAATAGGCTCCTTTGGTTAAGACACGTTTTGCATATGTCCGACAGTCGCCTACCGCAGCGCGCTTTATTCGCAGTGGCTGTTGCAGGCTGGAGAAAGCCACGTGGAGGCCAGCAGATGAGGTGGACACGGGGCATGAAGAAATGCACTGAACGACTAGATAGAGTAGGTGTTTCTCGTCTTCCGGGATGGGGTTCAAAAGACTCCGAAACCGCATGGTTGGAGACACTGAAGGCCATGGCTGCAAACCGACTGCAATGGCTATCTTGCTGTCACTTCTTATCAGATCAGAATGCTTGAAATAGTATGTGTGCTTAGTTGGACTTTGTACTCTGTGTGTTGGCCATAGAGGTTCGTTTTCTTTTCCCGTCCCTAAAATAAAGTCTGATCCCTATCCTCACACATTCTGATTTACCTTGTATGCAATATGAGTTTGGCAGTGACCAGTGAAGTTCGCTTCACTGTATTACGCTGTACAATAATGGTGATGACGTCGTTGATCCTTCACAGACTCAGTTGGATAAGAGAACTTCATGTCCGCAAAGAATGAGCTGAATTCAGCTCACGGTGGAGCTGCGTTGATCACTTACTTTCGATTCTCGAGCAACACTAAACGTTCAGTAGACCAACCATTGTTTTTGTTTTGGATATTCGTTCTGTGTTTGACTCAGTTGACAGAGCTGCTCTCTGAGCTTGTCTTCTAGGAAACGAAAAGCACGTAAACCTTCTCAAAGCCATCTACTCAAAAACACCAGGCCGCGTCAAGGTCTATGATCAGGTTTCCCGTTCATTCACCTTCACGGATAGAGTCCGACAAGATTGTCCGGCTTCACCCTCCCTCCTAAATTTCGCAATAGACAACCCCCCAAGCAGCTCTCTGGGAAACTGTAAAGTCTCCAATGTGGAGCTTCTCCCAGGCGATCGAGTCCGTGACTTGGAATATGCTGAGGCAATCGTTATACTCTGCGACTCCTCCCAAGGTGCTCGAAGTTTCCCGTGTAAGTTTGCGTTGTCCGTCACGCAGTGTGGTATGATCTTTTCTCCATCGAGATGTAAGGTCTTACTACAAGACTGGCAAGAGTCTTATTCTCCGCCAATGTAGATTAGTTGGAAATTATCGATCACTTTAGCTATCTTGGGAGTTGTTTCAGTTCACTAGGACTGGCGGGCAAAATATCAAAGTGGCCCTCAAGATCCTGGTGTCTTTCACTAACCTACTTTTTTGTGGCGTCGATGCGATCTCGGTCTTTCCTTAAAATTCGAGTTTACAGTACCACCACACGCTCCGTCTTACTCTATGGCAGTAGACTTACGGAGACTGTCTTTGACACCCGTTGCGTTCGTTGCATCGCCAGACTAGACTGGAACAGCGATTCACCAACGCTGGGGTTCACTCAAGAATCTTCGTCTCAGACAATCATAATCGTCTTCTGAGTACCTCAACCTCACTTCGAAGACTTTTACTGATGGGACATGTTTTGTGGATGCCGACTTAGTGACAGCCGTATCTTGTTGTATTTGGGTAAGTGGACAAAAACTGGAATCTGCGACGCTGTAGACAGCGAATAACCAGAGCTGGAGCGACGAAGTTGTTACCCTCGATACTGGCATGTGTAGGACGCTCTAGGCTCCCAGGTTGGGGTCCCAAGGGTATATATTATTATATTTCACACTTGGTTGAGGACAGACTGTGTGCCAAACAAATCATGGTTCAATGATCTTTATAAAAAGGAAAATGTTCCATAATGGGCTTGTGGGCTGAGTACTGCCAGGTTGCCCAGGCCAAGGCAGGTGAATTTTCTTGAGGAATCAACAACCGGAGCTTTCGGCTAGCCAAAGCCTGACCCGCAAGGCAGCTGGGCGGTGCGTGAAAACCGCAATCTATGGGGAGCCCGTGTTCAGTTAATCGGATCATATGCCCTTCGGACGGGGTCAGACGTCCAAGGTGCCCAATACGCCTCAATGCCCAAGTGAGCCGGTGACCACTGCCACAACCGAAAAGGTGTGGGTGTGGTTTGTACGCATCCTCATGGTTGGTTTGGAATCAGGATTTTTGTCCAACTCCCTTAGATGAACTGCCAGTGGTCCACCAACCCGGCTATAGCCCAGGATATCGGCTTTTCGTCCTCTCACTTTGGTGGGAAAACCGCCGCGAGAAGGCGGACATGGCTGGTAACTGGCGTCAGTGGCGCACCCATTGTGAGACTCTTATTAGTTGATTTGTATTTTCATCATTTTCTAATTTCGTTCATATGTTGTGGAACATTTGCAAATTTTATGCAATTATATATATATATATATATATATATATATATGACGTTACACATACGAACAACTTATCACGTCCTAAAGTACTCTCTACCCAAACTTTACGAAGATAAAAGAAGACAGTGCAAGGGGAGAACCCTATGTATAACACCGGTTGGTCCGGTTTTGAGGTCAAAAGCGGGCAGGGTGGCTGATGCCTCTGTCCTAATAAAATGACCCATAAACTAGCGGCAATGCTTGAGCGTTACAGTTTGCGACAGTTGCGAGTTTACAGGATTCTTCTTGTCCGTTATGATTTCGCAGCAGAACGGCATGAGGGAATGTAACACTGTTATTGTCTGTCATAGGCAAACGTATTTGATAATAGCAACAACGGTGATAGTAAGTGATCTTTGGAGGCGGTAAACATATTCTATATCGATCAGTTGTTTCTGCTGCATTGTACGTAATTTGTAGGTTCACTCGTGGAGATTATCCTGAAGTACCACCCTTACTTCGTATTCTGTGTTTTTCAAGCGGAATCATNTCGTAGTTTTCCAACAGGGATCTTTGTCTTGCAGGCTGGTCGCAAATCACCGTCTCACGGAGAACTTGCACCTGCACTGGAGTGGACTGAACTGTTGTCATAGGTGTCTCCTGCATTGATTTCAAGTATTATCTACAGATCTGGGTGCCTTCCTCTGTGAAATACGTCAAGGCTCTGAGGACAGTGCAAAGAAAATCCACGAGGGTATGGAATATACTGATATGTTAGAGGTTAAGTCTGTTCTTTCTTAAGGAGAGGAGAATGCAAGACCTCGAGAACCGTCCAGGTAGCTGAACGACTTGCGGGTTGCACAAAGACTTCTTCTGATCATATGGTACCAAAGCAGATCATTTTAAAGGTAACTTATTAGTTTAGGTGCCCACGTAACGCTATTTATCTTAACCAAACAGTAAGGCAATTATATCAGGATTAAGCAGTGTTGTCATCGGCTCAGATCAATCAAAGGTATAAAAAATGTCATTTTCGTTCGCTAAAATCAAGTAAACATTGATTCTGCAATCAAGTCGTATATCGAATGCTCCCTCTCCAAAAATCCCCACAAAGACATTCTTTTACGCACACTCGCCACCATTAGACGATGGCGTCCTGCTTTTCATACTTTTTCTATGTACATAGACAAATTTCGCCCAGGCCATCCAAGTACCATGGACAGAAGTCGATCACTCCCATTCCACGAGACACCTAATCCAACTTGCTAAGGATAAAAAACGAATTATCAAAAACACCTACTCACGATTTGTAAATATCTTATGCATCTTTTGGCTTTGTTGTTTCAGGTATTGTACATAATTGAGTTATGAATTCAACCGATCAACCTCCCTACGTCATCTTAGAAACAAGGTCAGATATTCACTTCATACTACTAAAAGCTTTACAGTCAGGGAACTATTGGAGTCGAACTGTATTGGAAACACGCACCCAGAACATGCATGAATTTTGCAGAACTTGCCAAACGCGGCTACTACAATGGTGTCCCGTTTCATCGCATCATCCGAGACTTTATGATTCAGGGCGGCGACCCCACTGGAACTGGTCGTGGCGGAGCGTCTATTTACGGAAATTATTTCGAAGATGAAATTCATCCAGACCTAAAACACACAGGTACTTTTTTCAACTTGATCGCTTGATCTTAACCTTAAAGGCGCGGGCATCATCTCTATGGCAAATGCAGGACCTAATACTAATGGAAGTCAGTTTTTTATCACTCTTGCCCCAACTCAGTGGCTGGATGGAAAACATACCATTTTTGGTCGCGTGGCATCCGGAATGAAAGTCGTTCAACGATTAGGTTTGTCACATTTCTGGATAATTGAAGTATATCTGGCTTACAGGTATGGTTGATGTCGACCAGTTGGACAGACCCAGAGATCCCGTAAAGATTGTCCGTGCAAGCACAGCCATGGCCTTGTAAATACACCACATTGAACCAGATACTATCATCATTGTACTATTCTTCCATCAAGGTTTATCCTTTTTCCGTATAGCCTTTTCGATGGACTCCAGTTGTCGATTGAATGATAAATGGTGAAGCTTTTTGAACTGGTTCGTGGGATAACGGGTTGTGGATCGGTAAGCTTTATTTAAGAGCTTAGTTTCCACGTGCAAAAATCTCAATGTTTCGTAGTAACCAATTATCAAATGCTACTAGAAACTAGCATATTTTGAATAGAACGACCGAAATGCAAGATAATTATTAGATTTTGTTGGTGCTGGTTCTTCCATGGTTAAATCAACTCACGGTTGTTTAATGAATAAGGCAGTTTTCTATCTGGAGCTCCGGAACTGAAAAAATAAGACTTGATTTCAGTAGTTTGTTTTTTTCGTCTCACGGAACCTCCCGTTATTCTCTCCCATGTGGTGAATACGTTCGAAGCTAGATTCTGCGTAGGATGTTTCGCTTTGATATATATATATATATATATACATTTATTACGGAATTTTGAGCACTAATATAAGAATACAAATCCAACATTGACTGGTGTTTTGCGACGGTTGTGTGAGCAACAGCCCGTAGGGAAGATTAGAAAGAAAATGTTTACGAATCTTCAATAAGAGATCGCAATACGCTATAAGTTACATGAGCACAGCAAATGACAGAGAGTAGAGTTCATTATTATTGGTGCATAAGAGTATGCATACAAATAGAACTCGTCTGCACAAGAGACGCACTCTCACGTAATGTTGAGCTGCCAGCATCTGCATCCTGTCGATGTTGATGCCAGCGAAAACTTGAGCTTATATACAATGTGAGTGAGCCTTGGTATGGGATCCGATGTGATGAGCTGGAGGAAAGAGACCCATAATGCACCGTCGCGACATCCGGATGTTTTGAAGGGTCGATTGTATGCTACAGCAGAGGCTTGGTCGTTACGCAATCAAGATAGAGATAGACTGTCGGTGTTCGAACACCACTGTCCATGCCCGCGTTGTCTGATGGGGCAACCGGACGAACAATGCTGAGGTTAGGCTCAGAGTTTTAAGTATTCGCGGTCTTCCACTGGAACAGGTAGTCGACCTCCATAGATTACGCTATTTGGGACATGTTGCGCATGTCATCAAATAGATTTGGACGGTGTATGCTGTTTATCGAGGTAGGTGATAGATTGACAAAAGCCGACCATCACTACGAGACTACACCCTGACGTGGTGTGATGGCTTGTACACCTCTGTGACCCAACGAGCTACACAGGATGGCTTTATAAAGCCAGGAGAAGGTCAATGGGTAGAGGTCAGACGAAGTTCAGTCTCCTGGTCCTCCAGCTTGGGGGTTCGCCTGGAATTTGGCGTTTTAGTCGATAAAAAGCGGTGGAGGAGTAATTGATCCAAGTAAATGGGCCTCCACTTCGCCTCACCCTCTGCCTTGCGGTTAGGTTCTTGTTAGAACTAAAGGCTTTGGACGAGAACCCTAATCGTTCTCCTGTTTAGTGGCTGGACACCCTAGCATTTCCCGTCCACCAAACCCCAATGCATACACAAAATAAAAATAATTTCAAACTGCATCGGTCGTCGCGCAGGATAATCAGGACCG